ACATCAGAACAAGCATCATTTTTTCTACAAGTTTTAATATACAAATGAAACCAAATGTATTTTGGAATCAGTTTCTGTACATTCATCTGACAAAATAAAAAATAAAAAAAATCCCAAAGAGAACACCATAAAGGTGTTACACAAGAAAACGACAACTGAACAATCTGGCAAAAAGGGAAAACTGAGAACATTAATAAAGGACTGAATGGGTCTTCAGCAGGTCATCGAACGTTACACATGCCAGCGTGTGCGCCCTTAAACTTTTTTTGCGAGGTGTATTCATGTTAAATTCATAAAGTTATCTATTAACCAGGACTTGAAACTCATTTTGCAGGACAAACCCAGGCAGGATAACAGCACAGGCCAGTGAAGCAATTTGATATGAAAGCAATGGCAATTTTGCACTTAATTCCTTTCCTACTGTGTTTCAAACAAGAACATCTGTTTATTTTTCACAAAGAAAAGAAAAAAAATTGGGCGATATATCAGATTAGCAGACTTTTTTCAAATGAAGTATTGGTCGGGCTCTACAGAGAGTCACAGACACACACTGTTATACACACTTTAACTTAATTAGAGAAGTGGGTGACTGCCGGGTCTGTCTGTAGCTGGGAGGGAGAGGCACAGTCCTGTGGTTTCAAATCATATATTTTTCTAATGAAATTCAGTAAGAAAACTCCTGTCTATTAAATACCACACCGACACTTCTTACATTTTGTCTAAAGTAAATCTGATCTAATAAAACTTTGATACAAAAGAAGGCAACATCAGGGACAACCTGGATAAGAAAAAACACACAACTGAGATCTGAGCTGAACTGAACTGAACTGTCAGTCGGATAATACACGAAATGTCTACCGGATGCCAGCAAGCTGAATTCAAACTACAAAAGCTTAAAAGAAACCAAAGATCAAAGCAAGGGGGATCCTAATAGAACTTAAAAAAAAAATTTTTTTTAAATATATCACTTTGCAAACTAAGTTTTACCACTGTTATGCTTACACACATTATCTGCTTGGGCATACTACATAGAAAATTGAATTTTAATATTTCTTTATAAAATAGTTATCAGTATAAAAACAAACAGTAAAAAGTCTGGATTGATTTGTGTGTCTAGATATGCTTTTATATTTTTCTGCCCTTTATTTTTAATTAGCCAATTCTTTTATATTCACTAATAGGACCCCCAGGTAGTCAAAGGTTTACATTTTCAAGTTAATGCATAAAATAAAAGAATCTGCTTTAAAAGAAATATTTTCAGTTCACGCTGAAATGACCGTTGCTCAGTATGAGCAGTGATTTTTAATGGCTACAGGAATGTGATGTGCTCAACCGCTCAGCTGCTTTCCTAGTCTATTATCCAGGTTCTGATGTCGGTAAAGGTTAAGTACAAGATCTCGGATTTCATCTCGCTTCCTTCGCACCTGCTGCCGTGAAAACCATTGTTCTAGGTGTAGTGGGAGGTCAAAGTGCACCACGGGGTCCTGAAAGCAGAAGCAGAATTAATTATGCTGTCCTTGAACGCATTTTTAGCTAAACTAAATGTGACGCTTAAAAAAGTGCTTTACCTTCAAAAAGCACTCAACGTATTGTAGCAGGTAGAGGCCACAGTCGCTGCTGTTATCCTGAAGGGGGACGTGGCAGTGTGAGCTTTTCATCTGATCAGGACCAAAGTCCCTCGGTGACCCACGACGCACCTCCCATTCTGACTGCAAGTATCTGGCAGACAAATATGTGTCATTAAAATAAAAATACAATAAAATTTCACACAGACCCATACCCATGCATACCCAGCTTCAGAATTGAGGGTTTAAGGTGTCATACTTACTCCCGCAACAGTTTGAAGACTCGTTCATGAAGAGAAAGTTTAAGGGAATCCATGATAAGAATACACGGCCTACAGAGAGGACAGACAGCTGCAAGTCAGTGTTTACTTTTACATCAAGCTTTCATTTGTGAAGTCTTTTTGTTCGGATGTGTTTAAATATCCAGAGACCAGGGGAGAAACACATAAACTTCCAAAACACACAAAGACCATTGCCTCTTTTCCGCAAGTGCCTACTTGGCTCAGCTCAGCTGTTAGGGGTTTTACATTAAGTTGTAGTGCCTTTTTAACCACTGTTGTAAATACATAAATTCCTGCACCATCTCATAGTATAAGAGCCATATCCCTATTATTTAGCTGTGTTGTTTATTATTCTGGATTGAACACTGTACTATTTTTACTCTTTATCATGCTGCTGTAGCACAAAAATTTCCCTTGTGGGATCAAAAAGTATCCAACCATCTACCTGGTAGCAGGTATTTATTAGTACCTGCTCAGCCGGGGCTCCAAACAAGCCGAGTCGCTCCAAAGATGTGACATCATACTGCATGCTACCGATTGGTCGGTCAAAGGCATCACTCGATGACTCATGAGACCAACTCCTTCACAAAAATCTAAACTACCATTTTTGAAGCCCAGCAACAAGGGAAACCAACACAGTGAGCGGCATGTTGAACTGAACTCAACGGGTTAAATCAGCCAGTGGTGGCTGACCAGTAACTGTCGACGATGCTTATGACTTCATTAGACGTATGTTGGAAGCAGCTTTCTGCTTAAACATATGCGCCTAATACATTTTGGATAGAAGTCATGTCAAGCTACACAAAGCAGATGAGCCTGGCAGGAAGTCACACACAGCCACAATTTAGAGCATTGGGCTGCTTTTCCTAATAAAAACACCCCATCTAGACCCACCCTACTAAACCATTATCAGTGCATGAACATAAATGGTGTTAAGAGGTCAGAAAACAGATGATCAGAGGACAAAAGGAGTTTCTTTTTAGAATATGGACTAAAAAGGTGTAAAAACTCACCTTTTGCAAACTGTCTTCTTTTGCCACGTCAGCTCTGTACAACTCTACAAAGACAAAAATAGACTGAGCTGGTTTGCCGGAACAAACAGACACTTTTAAATATTCTTATATGTAACTGAATTATATCTTACTACTGGATTAGGTGGTGAATCTTTGGCGAATTCTTCCTGGGTATTTTCTAAAAGACACGAAACGACACACAATGATTACCTTCACCTTTGTCGTCACTGGTATAAACACCAAAGACAAAGAAGGCATGAGTCAAAAATACCTGTGTCTGTGTCTATATTGTCACTGCGCATATGTGATTTCTCCACATCATCATTAAAGCTTTTACTTCCTTGCGCATCATCTTGACTCTCAGACTCCTCCGTCACGTCGCTGCTCTTTCCTGTCCAGCCCTCGATTTTAGGCTCACCCAGTCCGGGAAAGCAAATGACAACTAAATACCAGTGAGCTCTAAATGGAGAGAGTCATGTGATGTGTTTAACAGATTTACTGAAAATTAAAAAGAGAAGAAAACTGTGCAAATAACACCTCCTGTGCTGAACTTACTCCTGATTGACAGGTACAAACAAGAAGTCCTTTTTGAAGATGTCGACGTGTCGTGTCCATGTCTTCACGCGTTGGTGCCGCCTCTGTCTCTGACAGCTGAATACAAACAAAAATAAAAACAATAAAAACATTTTTGGAGTCGTGCCTGTAACATGAATCTTGATTACAGGACATATCAGGTCTAAATACATTAAACATGCAATCTATTAAGCATTGCATTTTGGTCTTTGAAGCTTAGATGGTGTAGATGTGGACATCTACACTAATGACCAATGCATCCAACTCAAAAGGTACTGCAGGTTATAATACTGTTTAAGGAGGATGTAGTGTATCTTAAACGGCTGGCAGTTATTGTGCTATCTTGTTAAATTCAGTAAAGCGTAAGAAGGTAAGAACACTTTAAGTGAAGACATTTCACACAATCAGTACACCCCAAAGCAGACTGCAAACTCTATCAGGGTTACTTACGAGTCGCTGTTGCCACCTTCACTGGCATTGTCCCGCCGCGTCAGCTGCTTGTAGAAGAAGCTGCTGAAAATGTGGGAGCGCTCGACCACTGAAGCAGATGCGTTCTGGAGGAGGTATCTGGTTTTAAAAACACAAAAATCAAAAACGATCCATTTAGAAGCATCTCTATCCCAAGACTCAGAATCAGTTAATGCCTTTTGTTTAATAAATAAAAAAAATAAAAGTTCATACTTGAGGTAAAAATCAATGATAACATCGTTAAGGTATTTCCCACTGTCAAGGCACTGCAGGTCCTCCATTGTAACAGTGATTCCTCCTTTCATTGGCGGAGGAGGAAACTGGATCAACCTAAGTAAGGAAGCAGGAGATAAGAATGAGCCGTTATTTAGATCATCAGAACTTTTAGGTTATACATATTATTCAAAGTGTTTTTATGAGGATGCACTGATCTCATAAGTCAGATTAGTATTACGATAAATGGGGACCTCATAGTAGTATTAACACCCCAAATAATTTGCAGTTTGTTTATTCATTCACTTTTGTGATTGATTAGTGATTAATCTAAGAATTAAGTTAGTCCAGTCAAAATATTGCCTGCTCTCCTCTTGTCATTCATAAATATAATCCCAATAAGTTCCTCGCAGTGTGTTACAGCTTGAACATTTTAATCATTTTGCCTCTGGACATCACCACAGTGGATCCGAAATTAAGCAATCACAATGTGATCAAAGTGGAGGCTTAAAATTTATTCGAGGAGCTCAATAAAATATTATTTTAGCAATTTAGGATTTTACAACATAGCACAATTTTAAAAGGCTCAGAATTAACTAAGAATTATACTTTGCAGTCAATTGGCATCCCCAGAGGTTCCTCCTTTGAGAAGCTCTGACAGCATTTACTGCAGCTGTGTTCAGCTGTTTGTTTGTGGAGCTCTCTGCTTTCACCAAGTGGAAAATAAACTTGGGCTGAGATCAGTAGACTGACTTGGCCACTTGAGAACTTTCTGTTCCTTGTTTTCAGGTAGTTTTAGCTTTGTGTTTGGGGTCATTATCCTCTTTAATAAAGGTCATCCAGGTTTCCGGATTTTGACTGCATCCAAGTAGTAAAGCATTTTGCAAAGAATTCATGCTGCTACTTCTATCAGCAGTCACATCATCAATCAGCAACAAGGACCCAGTTCCACTCGCAGCCATACATTTCCATGCCATCAGATTGTCTCTACTGTGTTTGACAGATGATGTGGTATGCTTCAGATCACGAGCCCTTCCTTTTGTTCTTCATACTCTTCTCTTCCCATCACTCTGGTTCACGCTCATCTGGACTTAATCTTTCTGCAGAATCCTACTCCACAGCTGGACCAGATGTTTTTTAGATGTTTCTTAGCAAAGTCTAACCAGTTTGTTCTGTTCTTGACCAATACTAGCTGTTTGAATCTTGCTGTAGCCCCTCTGTATTTACTGTCACAAAGGCATCTTTTGATTATAGCCCTTGATGGTGATACAGCTACTTCTTTATAAATATTCCCGAATTTGCTAGATGTGTTGTGAAAGGGTTTTCCTCACCTATGAGAGCTTTACGATCATCCACTTAACCTGTTTTTCATGGTCAACCATGAGTTTTTGGTTTTCCTCAAAAAATAACAAGTAGCAGGCCACAACTATCCACAAAACTGCTCCAGCCTCCCTGAATTAACACCTACATCAGCCCATTGAAGACTCCATTCATAGTACACCAAAGTAATGAACAGATAAACAGTTAAATAACACAAAAGTTCCTGGTTTTCCACTATTTATACTGGGTCCACAGTTTAAAAATATAAAAAAAAACCATTTCTATGAATTAATCAACTCAAATTATAAAATCTATTATAATAATAGGACAGTCTGTATAAGGAACTACCCAAACTTTTCCTGTAACTTTTTAACATTTAGTCTCACTTGTCCGGGCAACTTAAAATCAAAGTACCTGACATACACCTTTAATCACAGCTTAATTGCTGTAGTTCAAATCCTCTGTGTTGGTGTAAAGAAGCAGAAATTATAAAATTTGTGCCACTGTCCAAATACTTAAGGACCTGTCTGTACAAATATTTTAAATATACTGGTGGTCTGTATGAGCAGATCTCAAACCTCCACTGATGAATCTCATAAGCATCTTAGCTTAGGCTACTTGCCTGTGAGCCAGACCCTGATGTTTATATTTAGTCCAGCTGGAGCCTGGTTTACACAGTGACACAGAGTAGGATCCTCTGGTTCTACGATGGCACATTGTATACACAGGAGTCGGTTCCTCTTTCTCCTTCTGTGGAGGGAAATGCACATCACAGACCAGTGGCTGTCAGGTGATTGTGAAGTGGGCACAAGCTAAATGTGCAGGCTTGCAAGCTGAGTACCAGTAAAGAAAAAACGGTTTTGGGGGGGGGGGGGATATACTCTTACTGAACCACCCAGTAGACACTTACATCAGAGGGACATTCAACCCTTTGTTCTTCCTGATCAGGCTTTGGTTTGAGCAAAGGTGCTTCTGTGTCTGGCTCTGGTGCAATCTCTGTCTCTAAAACTGAGTCTGTCTTTTGTGCTGTGGGCTTTTTGTCTTCTTCAGGTTCTGTGTCCGTGTTTGTCACACCCAGCATGGAGAGCAGGAAAGAGTCTAGTCCAGTTCTTCTAATCAGCTCTATGCTATCATCCAGAGAAAGAACAGGAGACAGAACGTCTCCCAACTCACTAAATCTGTCTGTACTGTGCCTTAAATTGGTTTGTTCATTTGCCAGAGTCTTGAGACAGACAATGTCCAGGAGAGAGCGCAAAAAAGCTCCCTCCATTCCCTCCAGAGGTTCTCTCAGAGTCAGCAGGATGAAAGGGCTGGCTTTCCCTATTAAAACAGAGCGCAATATGAAATAATGCTGAATGCTGGCACTATATAACAGAAACCTTCAGCATTTTTAAGTTTAAATGACCAAAACCCTGAACTTGTCATCCAGCAGTCTCACCAGTGTTCACAGCTCCATCTTTTTTGGCCGACAGCAGGCAGAGGTCCTGCTGTACCGAAGCGGCAGCAGTTTCTGACACACAAAATAGCAGCACAGCAGCAGGTGTGGGCTCATCATCACCCTTAAAGTGCAGCTGTCGTTCTTCCAGTTCCTGTCGCTCCCAAACACTGTACCTCCTCAGCTCCAAACGCTCAAAGGTCAACTTCACCTCCAGCTCCTCACTGGTGTCTGAACACAAGATGCGGTCGTAAGGACAAACAGCTTTACACTTTATTCTTGTTTCTGGTATTTTACAATGTTTGTCTTGTTAAATTGACAAACAGCTTGTATATTTTGTGCAAGTATTTTTAAAGTATAAGGTAACAATTTTGTTCTTGCCTTTTATAAATCTTTTTCTAGCTAAGTAATACTTTTGTTTTTAATGCTTTGGAAAATAATGTTCAACCACTCTTCTTTAATAGAAACAAGGGTTACGCACACAAAGGCAGGCTAAGATGTCATTAAATGAACCCATAAATTGACTGAGTTTTACAGATTCAGAGGTGAAAGTCTACTGGGATCTTGAGGGTTTGACGCATTAGCACAAAGAAGCTAAGCGAAATAAGTGAAAAGCTAGGAGAGGATACTGTGCCAAAACAAAATGAGGTGACTTGTTTTTGTGTCAAAGCTTATACAACCCTGCCCAAAGGCACAAAAAACGATCAGAAAAGCTGATGGAGAGAGGTTCTCTTTAAAAGTTATTAGGAAAAGGAATTACTTAAGATCAAAACATATTTATAATATTACCTTTGAGTGGGATGATGATTTCTTTCTCCTCTATCTGTGAACAGAGAGAAAGATGCATTAGATTTTCAAATTCTGTGCATGCTTACGGCAAAAAGCCCATCTTTGCATTTTATTAGGGTTACCGCGATGGGTCCATTTGCTTTTCCATGATAAACTCCACAGTGCAGACCACAGAAGGGCAACTCCATGCAGGAATAGTCTATATTTAAACTGGGAGCTGAAGTCACTGGAAGAGTAGTGTTGTGCACAACAAACACCTGCAAAACACAAACAGACACACACATGCAAAGTTTACAGGAAATAGAGCAGGCTGTGCAGCCGCACAACGATGCAAACAGATTAATACACGGTAATGTCAGGATAATAACAGACTACAAAGATAACTAGTGGCATGATTAAAGGGCAGCATGCAGAGGCTATATAAAATTGTTGCTTTGGCACCATCTGGTGGTGGTTAAAAGAATGACATGGCAGTTTGCAGGTATTCCGCTGTCTATTGAAAAATAGTATATCGAGATATTTGTCTTGATATGTTGCTCAAATGAGAAAGAAAGAGAAGACGCAGGAGGTCACCTGGTGGTCTATTCTATTTTGTGGCACTAAATGAAACTGATCTGTGATATTGTGCTACAGCTAAAGAACACACACACACACACACACACACAAATATTCTTACTCACTGCATGCACTGCAAAGCTATTTAAAGCTGAATTCAGTGACTCTTCCTGCCAAAATTTGATGCATGTGTTAAATGCATTGACTATAAACCATTGATAATGTACCAGGTTTGAAACTCGATGTTCTCCTTAAAATGCCACGATCTTACTATGGTGGCAGTTTTTGTAAGCAGCTGTAGAGTGATCTTAGTTCACGTGACTGTGAAATCGATAACATAATGGTTTAGAAAAGAACAAGTTCTTCCTTTTTATTATATCCAGACATCCACGTGCATGGCTCCTCTCTCCCTTCATGTCATTGGGTCAGATACAAGACTAAGTGGCAGCAGCACAGGCAAAGTATTGTCTTTTAATTAGCAGTTGGTGACTTGGACACCCTGGGGTGAAGTAAAACCTTAGGCCCCCGGATCATGTCTGTAAAACACCCTTTGTGATGTCATGTTAATCTGGGCATTAGCTCAGCTCAGTTTAGAGGCATGTGCGAGGCTGTTGTCTGCACAATAATAAAAAAGGAAAAGAACATATAAGGGGATTATAAAAACTGAGATCACATATGAAATGTGTTTGTGCTGGACTGAACACACTCTACTAACCTGCATGTCAGCAGTGTGTTGCTGTTTGGCCTCAGCTTCCTGTGACGACTGACCCTTTATTACTGCGTCTTCCACAGCGACCAGTGTGCGGACTTGGCTGCAGCCCTGAGAAACGTCTCCACCCTCCTCATCGTCACTGGACAGCACAACTGAAACACAACCATTAAGACAACATGAGGCCAGAGTGAACCTTTTCTTTGGAATTCTCTAAAAGTACAAAACGCTTGAGGACACATAAGCCCCTATCTGATACTGTATAATGGAAATGTAATGGGCTTTAAAGCCACAGTGAGGACAGTAGTAATCCAGGAAAAGGCACGTGGGTAAGCTAAACAGTGAAAACATTGTAGCTGCTAATTGTATTTTCACGTGCTCCCGGATGGCCCCTTTTCCTGCGTCAGTCTTCAGTGTGTTCATGTGCCTCATAAACATAGAAAGAACATGGATGCTACAGAGAAGTTGTATTTTAGTGTTTAAGGCATTAAAATAACAGCTTGTTAACTTGATAAATAAGTAAGTCCTCAGGGTAGCTGACATCTTTGACATTTTTAGTAACTTTTCAAACTAATTTTGGTGAATGTATGCAAAAAGCAACTAATGGTTACAACCTAATAACATCCTGCTTCACACTCAAAAGAATCAGGTGAACTGGTTCAGGCATCAGACTCCTAGGATGCCTCCTAGTAGGGATGGACCCCAAAACCTGGTTTTGAATGAACCCTGGGGAAAAAAATTATTTAAAAAAACTGGAGAATCAATAAGCACCAAAATTATCAGTACTGCTTTCAGCCGTGGAGAAATAAAAAAGAAAGAAATTACATGTATTTATTGCTACATAAACAAAGTTATCATTTACATTTTATCTGACCACCATTACTGATTAAGAGATTAGTTTAAGATGCATTTAACTAGTCCAACAGATAGCGCCCTCTGTGTCACACATACGCACACACAAATCCTGGTCTTTGTGAAGAGGGCTGAGAGAATTAAACGCTCAAAAGGATAGCTGTACTTTGTTAGAGTGAAACGGTTCGTCACCACAAATGCAGGTCTTTTAATCTGTTAAAACAATCAGCAAAAGCCTATTTCTCCATCACATGCTGTAAATAGGCAGTAGCTTTCTCTCTCATAATCGGGAATATTGGTTGTGCAACTTTTCTGACTAAGAGCCGCTTATAACATGTATGACTTAGTAACACACTTTATTTTGATGGCCGCTATTTCAAGGTGAGTCAATTTCAAAGTCACTGAGCAGATGCAGCACAATTAATTACTGAAGTTTTGTTTAAATGAGGCCCTCTCACACACACACAAACGCACACACACACACACACACACACACACACACACACACATAACAAAAGAGCAGACTGGTATTCATTTGCCAGGTTCTGGCCTGCTCAGACACACTCAGCAGTGGACTGTTGGGTGTACTCACTGGGCTCAGAGGGACTGATCTGATTCCCGTTGTCCTGTGTGGATGATAGGCTTTGTCTTGGGCTGCCAGTAAAATCTTCGCGTTCCAAATCAGGGTTGATGACTGGGACAAGAACTTCTGTTCCATTGTCTTCACCCACTGTGAACTGCACTATGCAATGCTCCAAGCTCTCCAAATCACCATCCTCTCTACTGTCCTCGTGACAAATGGGTGCAGAGAATGCTCCTCCATCTCTTCCATCTTCTTCTGTGAGCTGAAGAACGCTCTCGCGGTTGCGTTTGGGGCTCTCCGTTCCATTGCATTGGGACGCCGAATCCCTTCTTTTCCTCTTCTATCACACAACATAAAGTATAATGTATCACTTCTGCTGTTTACTGAGCACACAGCATGAACTGAAAGATCACAGAGCCATTTTTAGAATACAGTAAAACAAAATAAATTTTTAATCTCACTTTTTAGACACGGAATAACAACTGCTGAGTAGGGGTGCAACGATACACAAAATTCACGGTTCGGTTCGGT